TGCTATCATTTGTGCAAAAAAAGGGCAGGACATTTGCTTGTATGTACATACCCTACGTCTGGAAGGGTACAAAGGAAATGGGTACTGTTGGTTGTTTTTGAGTTGGGGGTGGAATAGGGATTTTTTCACTGTAAACAATTGGGCGTCTTTTGAACCATGTGATTGGAATCCATTAAAAACAATTCATTAAAAGAAGTGTGGTGCCCTGAGCTGAATCCTCCACTTGTGGCCTGACCACAGCAGGGTAGCGTGGGAGTATTACCATTTTTTCTGTGAACCAGATGCTGTCCTACTTTTAATGCCATTGAAGATTGCATTACTCTGGGCACAGTGGGCTCTGATGAACCTTGTGGTCAGGATGGCACCCTTCTCTGTTTCCTATGAATGGTTGCCAGGACAGTTCTTGTGGACTTCAGGAAGTTGAGACCTGCCCCCAGCCTGTACTTACACAGTCGCCTTTGTTTTTGGCCCAGAATGCTGGGCTGTTAGGGTCATTTGAATCTTGATTCTGTCATCTATAGCATTAGCTCTTCTTCCCACTTTTGTGCCATCTGAGGGTTTGATAAGCCTGCCCTTCATGTCTATCTCTAGTCAAGTCATTGTTAGAAGACAGTGGACACTGTGTGCCTAAGAATCAAATACTGTGTCATGCCACCAGTAACCCTTCTCTAGCTTGTCATGCAGTCATTAGTGATGCCAGTGTATACATTTATTCACCAGATGTTTATGTGCCCATGATATGCCAGGCACTGTGCCAGTGCTGAAGGTACACAGAAATAAGACAGCTGTCCTGCCTGGAAAGAGACAATCAGCTTGAAAAGAGATCATGATTGGCACACTTTTTCTCTAAAGGGCTAGATGGTAAATATTGTTAGCTTTGCAGGCCATACATTCTCTGTTGTAACTAGTCAGCTATGCCATTGTGGCACCAAAGTAGCCATAGACAAGATGGAGACAAGTGGCATGGCTATTCCTAAAAAAACTGTAAAAGCAGGTGATGGGCTGGGTTAGGTCTGTGGATGATTGTTTGCTGACACCTTGTCTAGTAGAAAGACAAGTAATTCAGTCAAGTTTAATAAGTGCTCTGAGAGTGTGTGCGCAGAGCACAATGGCGGCCCAAAGGAGGGAGTGATGTACGGTCAGTGGGGTAGTAACCACCTGGCTAGACAGTAGTGCGAGCAGCTTCATGCTGTTTCACTATCTTATCTACAAGTGATAGTTTTTCATAGGGAGTTTTTCTAGATGCTATGCTGAAATCTAGGTGCATGATATCTTTGGCATCTTACCTGACCTACCAACTTGGTAACCACAAGAGAAAAATCGACTGGTTTTTGGCATGCCTTTGTCATTGTGGATGCACATTGCCTTTTCCCAGGGTTCACATTTTTTTCAAAATGTTCCCAAACCATTTATTCTGTAATTTTGCCAGGAACCATTATTGGTCTGTAGCTGTCCAGACTGACTTATTTGTAGATGTCAGGATCGCCCACTTCCCTGCTTTAAAATCGGGACATTGGCCCATGTCTCCTCCCCTTAGACCCATTTCTCATTTGTGTGATTTTGAAGTTGATCAATAGCAATTCTAAGAAACTTTTATAATCAGTTATATATATGTATGAAATATATATAACTTATATATATTCTTAAATATGTATGAAAGAAATTATATGTTGTTGAAAGAAAAATTGGAGCCACATCGGAAAGTGGAAATCAGTCATGGCGTTGCTGCTCCAGTGTTACCTCTGCTAACATTTTAGTGTTACTTTTGCCAAATACATGAGATTAATCAAAGCTCACAGTCATATCTCTGGAAGGGCTGTGGCTTATGGGGGGAGCATGATGTGTAAGCTACTTGACGTTTTAGAGGGGCATAATTCAAGTGTGTTTAGGGAATAGTGAAGGCATAGAGGAGAAAGGGGTTTGTTTCACTTGAGCAAGTGGATGTCTGGGAAAGGCTCTGTAGAACAGGTGACCCTTGATAATCAAGTAGAAGTCGTTGCAACAAAACAGAATTGCATATGAGCTACGGTTACAACCATGTACTAAATGTATTTTTTTAAAACTGCACGGAACTGTCCTAAAATAATACCGTGGTTAGAATATTGTGGTTGGAATGTTGATGAATGTGGCTTTATTTTCTCTGGTTTTCCAAATGGGAGCCAATCGCCACTTATAATTATTTTTCTTAATGCAATACATGCATGTCCTTGTCCTCAGGAACTCAGGGCTACAGAGCTCAGCTGCAGTCTGCTGCAGGGTCAGGGAGCTGGGAGCCATGTTCCATGCAGCCCTGTCGTTTTCATTAGTGGTAGCTGAGGATGAAGTAGATAATCTAATAATTCTGATAGCCCAGCCCTGGGAGTAGTCTAGTCTTAGGTTTGGAACCTGAAAGTTTTAGACAAATCTTGGAATATAACTTGAATACAATAGTGCAGATTGCTTCTTCACAACCCAGCCTGATTAGGTGAGACCTTGCTTCTCCGTGCTGAAGTATTTTACTCAGCAAGAATTACTTGCTTTTAAAATATTCAAGTGCAAAAGCATGAGGTAATGGTTTGGGAGGTAAGTGACATTATTCGGGGCATGGAGAAAGTGTTTACACGTTTATTTCTGACACACAGATTTCCCACCCCCAGCATTCGTTCCCACCTGCCTTATCCACAGGCAGAAGAGAGGGCACCCAGAACTGAGAAGGGTCTCCAGACATTCTGAAGTCCTGTCTCACTCCTGTCCACCTCTGGGGAAAAAAGAAGTGTAGTTGTTGGATTGTCTAGGGTCCAGATTTTGGTGCTGCTTCTTAACTTGCTGTGTGACTGTGGACAAAGTCTTGGAGTTCAGCTTTTCTTCTCCATTAAATTGGGATGATAACAATTGTAAGAATTGATTGAAGCAGATAATGTATGTAAGCACCAGCTTAATGCCTGACCTATAAACAGGTACCCAATACATCATGGCTGCTACTGTTTGATTGTTAGTGTCAGCCATAGAAATTGGCTCTTGTGTATCCCCTTAGTGGCCATGCAGAAAGAACTCTGGCCAAACATTCATTATTAGTATTTGGCACCCCTATGAATGATCTGCCCCGTGGTTCTGAATATTGACATGAAGTTGGTGGGGTGTGGAGCACTAGTGGGATTTGTGGTCCAGCAACACAAAATAATGTTCAGTGAAATTTCTCTTCAGAGATTACTTTTCACAAAAGGCTTTCTACAAGAAGGATTGTGTTCATGAAATGTCAGGTGCTGTGTGCGTGATGGCATCATGTTGATGAAGACAGTGGTAAACTGGGAAACGTGCATATGTTAAGTAGGGACTCAAGAAATAAGTATGGGTTGAATAGAAGAACAAAAGGGGAATAATTAGCAACAGGGAGAAGAAAAGGGAGAAAAGGAGGCACCTCTGGGTTGGGCCTTGGGACTCTGTCAGAGCTTTCGCACCCTTCCTGTCTCTCTTTAACCTATAACCACATTGGGACCTGTCTCTGAGCTTTATGAGGCCTGGAAAACTTGTCTTCTTGAAGTTAGTGATGTGATTTCATCCTTTTCCCAGACACACCATTTTCACTTTTTTACCACTCTGAGATCCTACTAAATTCCAGATTCAGTCTTATTGGTGACCAGAAACAAGATAAAATTAGAGAAGGAAGGCCAGGTACAGTGGCTTACACCTGTAATCCAGTACTTTGGGAGGCCTAGGCAGGGGCATTGCTTGAGCTCAGCAGTTTAATACCAGCCTGGGTAACATATCGAAATCCTGTCTCTATAAAACATACAAAAATTAGCTGGGCATGGTAGTGGGTGCCTGTAGTGCCAGCTACTCGAGAGGCTGAGGCAGGAGGATGGCTTGAGCCCTGGAGGTTGAGGCTGCAGTGAGCTGTGATCGCACCCCTGCACTCCAACCTGGGTGACAGAGAATGAGATCTTGACTCAAAAAAGGAAAAAAAAAAAATGAATTAGGGAGGAAGCTCTATCCTCAATCAGGAAGGCCTAAAGGGAAGATAGGCTTAGAAGTCAAGAGAGAAAGGAAGATGAAAGAGTTATCTCTTAAGATGAAAAAGGCTAACTTAGGGCTGACATGCTTCTTGGTTGCACTGAGTGCTGAGCTCTCTGTGTACTGTTTCCCTTTGCTTGCTGATAAATATCAGCTGTATCTGAAGGTATGGTGTGATGTTCAGCCCTTCTTCATTCTTAACCTATCATGGCCATTAGGGACTGGGAAGACAAAGGGTCAGGCACAGCGGATACCTTTTTAGCACTGAGGTCTGGCACATAGTAGGTGTTTAGGTGTTTAATAAACACTCGACTATCTGGTTTTCTGGTCAGAATCCATCTGTGATAGTTACCTTGAATTCAGGGCATGTATAGAAATGGAACCATTCTTTGTGCGTGTGTTGTTTTTAAAATATATTTGAGCAGTATGATAGATGGTACTGAGAGTACTGAAGTAAATAGATAAAAAATGCTTTAAACATCTTTTTGTGGAAATGTCCATTTTGGCAAATTTTACAGAGATTAAAAGTCTGTTGGTTTCAGTTTAGCCGCCAACTACCCTTTTTCCTAATTTGGAGAACCAAAGCTAGCTCTAATATATTAGATTCTCAGTCTTTCTGGATTCTCTTAGAGCCCCAAGCATTTATTGCCAGATTGTGGGAGCATTTTGTGCCCTTTGAGTATGCATGCATTAACACTTCCTTTATTTTTAAGTACTTAAAATTTTAATTTTATAAAGTTACATTTTACTATTTGATTTAAAAGGGTTTGCTTAAGTACATTTAGGCATTTAAAAGGTTTTTGTTTTTTGTAGTGGTGTCTTGCTGTGTTGCCCAGGCTGGAGTGCAGTGGTGAGATCTCGGCTCACTGCAACTTCTGCCTCCCAGGTTCAAGTGATTCTCCTGTCTCAGCCGCCTGAGTAGCTGGGACTACAGCACCACCAGGCCCAGCTAATTTTTGTGTTTTTAGTAGAGATGGGGCTTCACCATGTTAGCCAGGCTGGCCTTGAACTCCAGACCTCAGGCAATCTGCCCACCTTAGCTCCCAAAATGCTGGGATTACAGGTGTGAGTCACTGTGCCTAGCCTAGAAGCTTGGTGGTTCCACTTAATATTTGTCAGTTTGCTTTTCTTATTTTGCAGGAGATTGGTGCTGACTTAGTACAATTATTTTGTCAGGGTTTGTTGGTTCTTTGGTGTTTGATGGTTAGAGTGGAATTGCAGAACTCCCTTTTGAAAGGCCTTGGTAAGTGTGGGGAGAGGAGAGCAGGATCAAGGCTACGAGGCAGCTTCAGGTTGGGATGACTTAGCATGGGGCTTTCTCTTTACACTGTTCCCCTTTCTGTATTTTTCCTTCTCCCCCTCTTTCTTTCCCTAGTTTCCCCCTACTTTCCTGCTCCTGAAATATTTTATGTACATTGCTGGATTTGGTGCATCTAGGATTATGGTAAAGAAGAGGAATTTTCCTTCCTTCCTCCACCCCTCCTCTTATGCTGTTGCTTAAAATTCAGGTTTTATTTTGACGAACATTTTACAGAATATCTTTGGCCGTTTCCTCGATACCCTGTCATACGTGTAAAAGTCGGTATGGGTTTGGCAAAGAGTGTAGGGCTCAGGAGTCAACTACAAATGGATGTCAGTTCTTTTGTGACTCCTGTTTTGGTTCTGGGGTGACTGTGCTCACTCTTGGTGGGGACGTGCAGGAGGTGGTGACATTCACAGGCGCTGGTGGCAGCACCAGTCTGTGTGCTGGAGGGGACCAGCAGGAGGTGGTAACATCCACAGGTGCTGGTGGCAGCGCAGGCCTGTGTGCTGCTGAAGCCTGGCCAGCACCAGGCACCTTGGCTCCAGCTCTGCCCGTTGCTGACTGCGTTTGGCTATTGGGTTTTGGCTTTCCGAAGTGTCGTTTGTATCAGCCATTTAGCCTGTTCTGTTTCACAGCCTTTTCATCGTAGGAATCACACAACTTGAGCATTTTTGACCTTGTAAGGCTTTGTAGAAGAGACTGTAAATTCCAGATCACTGTGTACAGCAGTGCAGGGGTTGAAGTGAGGGAAAATCTGTTACTTGGATGGATGGCCTTGATCTCTGAAGACAGTCCCTGCAGTTGGTCTTGGGTGTGCGTTGAACACATCCCAGAGGGAGGTGGGGCTGCACAGAAGACTGCTGATGGGCATGAGCGCAAGGGAGACTTGGAGACTGACATCTGCTTCTTTTGCAGCATTTGGTATTTTTTCAATTTCCCACTAGAGGGAGGGAGGTTTGGGTTTATTTAAATGTGTGGTAAACAGTCTCCTTTCCCTTATTACTTATCTTTGAGTCATTCCAAGGCAGTTTCAGGGGGCCTAGTAGAAAAGTCAGTGGCCGCTATCATTCTTCCCCTCCCTACCAGAAAGCTCAAAGTTTCTGGCTAACCTCCAGTTTGGGTGAGAGAGAGCTGAGAGGCAGTGTGGCTGGATCCTGGGTAAAGGCCAGGCAGATGTGGTTTCATGATAGGTTCTAACTGGCAGGTGTTTTTATGTGCTCAACAGCATCATGTCTTTTCTCTTCATGTCCCTCTGGTTCATTCCTTAACATTACTGGGGAGGAAGCCTCCCTGAGGTCCAGGGAGGTAAAATGACTTATTCTGGGTCACATAGTAGTGGAAGAAAAAACTAGAATTGTACCTCTTTTCTGTTTTATCATGTTGCATTGAGTCTCTAGTGAGGCATTGAGTCTGTACATCCTTCACAGACTCTTAGAGAAACTTATACCTAATATGGTGATGGCTGGCTGAATATGGCTAAGAACACACACCTTGCAATCTGATTTGGGTTCTATTAATAGTTCTGGCTCTGCTACTTATTCACTATGTGATCATTAGTATGTTCCTGGTCTCCCTGAGCCTCAGTTTCTTCATCTGTAGAAAGGGGATCATAACTACCTCATTAAGGTTTGAGGATCACCCAGGACTATTGCTTGGTACATGTAGACACTCAGTACAGTGCCTGTGGCAGCATTGTTTTCCATACCTTGCTGTAGAGTGCTGTGGTGAGGCTGGCATCCCTCCACTTTGAGATTGAGGTAGGGAGAACTGCAGCACATCCCAGACCTGCCTGGATTCCTGTGCCATCTTTGCTTCATTCAGCACATGTTCTTTGAACAGCCTGGGGCGTGTGCACTCATTGGAAGAGGATGCCTGTGGATTTAATAACTTGTGCGTTTAATAATCAGCCTTTTTGGCGGAGTGACATGGCAGCAGTAGATTGATTTTATTGGGGCAGAAAAAGAGTTGTGTGCTTCTCCAGGTAGCCCTGAGTCACAGGCCTCCGACTTGTTATCTGCAGGTATGCACAGTCAGCTGTACACAACCTCCTCTTTCCTGCCCACCTGCTCTGGTGTGATTCATTCTACAAATATTTGGGTACCTACTGTGTTCCAGGCACAGGACAAAGTACCAGGGGAAGGTACATTGATGAGCAGAAACAGACCTGAGCCCTGACTTCAGGGAGTTTGTGAGATTGTGGGGAAAACAGGCATTAAGCAAAAAAGGGTAAAATTATAATCAGTGTAAGGCTGTGAAGAGCAAGTACTTGGGGCTACCTAAGCAGTTACTGGAGAGATTTGACCTAAGCTAGAAGTCCCAGGAAGGTTCCCAAAGAAGCGGCAGGTGAGTTGAAGGAAGGCCAAAGGGGTGAGGAGTGGGTGATGGCAGGACCTGACTCTTGTGCTGTTCCCGAGCCCAACAGCCTTCCTTCTTTTCCTTGGTTCTTTAGGAGGCAGTTAATCCTCTTGAAGTCAATCTTCTTGTTATAATTTCAAATGTATGCTATTTCCTTTTAATTGCATAGTTTTCAGGGAAAAAATAGAGTATGGTTACTACTTTAGGAGTTAAACAATATAAACTACAACCACTTGTTGAATATCAGCTGTGTGCCAGACACAGTATGCATTTTCTTCCTTCCCTCCTTCCCTCCTTCCTTCCCTCCCTCCCTCCCTCTCTCCCTCTTTCTTCCCTCCCTCCCCTTCTCCCTCTCTCTCTCTCTCTCTTCTCCCCCCTCTCCAACACCTTGACAGTGTCTCACTCTGTGGCCAGGCTGGAGTGCAGTGGTACGATCTCTGCTCACTGCAACCTCTACTTTCCGAGTTCAAGAGGTTCTCCTGTCTCAGCCTCCCGAGTAGCTGGGATTACAGGCATGTGCCACCACACCCAGTGAATTTTTGTATTTTAGTAGAGACAGAGCTTCACCATGTTGGCCAGGATGGTCTCGCCTCAGCCTCCCAAAGTCCTGGGATTACAGGGGTGAGCCACCATGCCCAGCCCTCAGTATGCACTTTCATTGAATTTTCTCTACAACACTGCAAGGTCAGTATTAGGATTCCTGGGTGAAGAAATGACACTCGAAGAGAGGGTAAGTCACTTGGGCTTTTGTCTCATCTTGGTTACTGATTAGAAAGTTGGGATTTTAACCCTTTGGCCTACCGCCAAACACACTTGTGTCCTCTGCCTCTCCCTCTCACAGACAGCTTTGTGGCTTGACCTGGGGATCCAACAACTATCTCCATGTCACGTCCATGGGAAAATACAATCTGAGTTCCAATCCTCCAACTTGAAAATGAACTTTTGGTGCATGGCTGGTTTATTGGTTGAGGGCTGTTGTCAGATTGGCATTGAGATTAAGTGGACCTGTCTCGCAGTGGTTTTAAAATCACTTTTTCAGTTCAAATCCAGAATTAATGGAAGCTTGTTTTGGAAATAGTCACTTGAGGTGAGTAACAATGGACCAGATAAAAAGAAAGTCAGTTTCACCCTTTTTGTGGCCAGCATTCCTGTGGACTGTGGGGAAAAAAAATGGGTGTGGGCTGGTAACTTTTAATTATTTAGAGTTAAATCTCTAACTTTCATGTGGTTTGTTAATGAGTGCGCTCTGGGTAGGGGTAATCTATGCCAGTTATTTCATCTAGCTGAGCCTCAATCTCCTTCTCTGTAAAATGGGAAAATGTAGCTTATTTACTTCTGCATTGCTGTGAGATTCAAATGGAATTACAGAGCCTTAGGATTAGAAGAGGGTATCCCTAAGATAATATATTTGAAAGTGTTTTGTAGGCCTGTGTCTATGATGCTACTTTTGTTGATTTATCACCGTGGTTCATATTATTATTAGTAGCATAACAGATTGGCTCTTAAACTTTAGCTGTATCAGCATCACCTGGAAGGCTTGTTAAGACACAGATTGCTGGGCCCCTCCTCCAGAATTTCTGATTCAGAAGCTCTAGGGTGGGGCCAGAGGATTTTTATTTCTCACAGGTTCCCAGGCAGTACTGCTGGGCTAGTGACCGCACCTGGAGACTTACACCACCCAGATCTGGAGCTGCCAGGCCCAAGCTGCTGCCTCAGGCCTAGAGAGTGACAGGTGAAACCCACTGACCTTGGCGGAGAGCGGATGTGGATGTGAGTTCAGGGTTATTGTGTGGCCAGAGCTGAGTTGGCATTGGCAACCCTAGGTCAGGGACTGTGATGTCTGGAGTGGGGTGGAGGCAGTCTTTCTGCTCCCTTGGGTCCCTTAGGATTTAAGATGGCCTCTCTTGGTCACCAATTCTCAGGGCTGTGGTATATGGGGCAGAAAGTACCTCTCTTGTAGGATGCTTTGGGCCAAACTTGGATAGACCTATCCACATTGGTGAACTCCTTCATTCTTGAGGCTAACTCAGATCCATCCAAACTCAAGCCCCCTTGGGCTTCGGTAAAGAAATCACCTTCTTTCTTATGATTTTCCAAGGGTGCAGTGAAGGGAGAGTTTCCTTCTGGGGCTGGGCGACCTCATCCTAAGAGATTTCCCGTCTCTCATCCTAAGAGATTTCTTACTTCCTCATCCTAAGAGATTTCTGATTTCCTGCTCCGGTGACATTTCTTCCCCACCCCAGCCCATGTGTGACTTCTCCTTAAATCTCCTTCTTAATTGAGATAAGCAGCCTTTTTTAAAAAATTACCTCCCATTTCAGAAGAGGGCAGGCTGGAGCAAGCTAGCAGCAATTTTCGCACTTTTGGGATCATATTGAATGGCTTGTTAAAGATGCAGATTCCCTGGCTATCCCCTCTAACGTTTTGATTTCTTAGTCTCGAGAGATCTCAGAAATTCTGATGCAGAGGTCTGAGAACTATAACTTAGGGAGATAACCAAAGACAATTTGACTTGCTTTTCAGTCTGTTGACATGCGGTGGATGCTCCAGCTACCCAGCACCCCACCAGCCCCTGCTTGGACAACTGTCCTCATTAGAGTCTGTACCTGAAAGCCTATACCCCATATTTGAGAGACAAAGTCATGGTGTAGGAGGGGAGTGGGGTTTGCTTAATGGTCGCTTTCTTGGTCAGCCAGCTGCAGAGTTTCCATTACGGCCTCTAAAGAGGTCTTTTTACCTGCAGTGTCTTCCATCAATATTCTGCCTTGTATGCACTCTACTCCTGCCTCAAAGCCTGTATGAATCTGAAGTCAAAGTGACTTTTGTAGCCCATACTTGGTTCATTCTCACAACTTCTCTATGAATGATGATGGGTCTTTGGTTTTTCTTTTGCCTTGTATGGCTGTCTGATTAGCTTCCATTGGGCTGATTTTGTCTCTGAAACTATATTGTAAGCATCATGGAGGTTGTGGGATCTACATGGTGTTGAGCATACAGTTATCAATGATTATGGGTAGCTTGGTTCACTGTGATACTTCTGGGGTGGAGTGACAACTGTTTGATACCTGCTTTGACAGATGTCAAAACCATGACAATAAGGGTCTAGAATTGGCTGGATCTCTATAATATCTCTTAGATGCAAAAACATTTTAGGTATAGGCCTTTCAGTATCAATGCCGTCAAATAGTACTTCCAGGGAGAACCCCAGGGCAAGTCTGGGTCCTAACTGAAACCGGTGGTTTTAGCCAGAAATAAACCAGCATCAGGAAGGGAGCTGGTCAAACACTGTTCTACTGCATCAGTGGGTGGCAGAGGCTGCTGGCTAGGACAGAGTTAGCTGGCATCAGTCATGGCAGAAGATGACTCATAAGGCTAGTTGAATGTGTGTGTATGAGTTTGTGTGTGTGAGAGAGAGACAGAGAGAAAAAAGATTCTTACTTGAAACAGCATGCTTCCTGTGTCTCCCGAGGATGTATTTTTTCCCCTCAGATGTTTCTTTTTTTTACATAATAGTCAATGTTCAAGATTGTGTAAAAAAAAAAAATTAGGAAATAATCCAAGAACCCAATATTCAAAAGGACCTGGGCAAACTGTCAGCATTTTGTCAATGGCTCTTTCTAGCCTGGGTTGCTTGTGTGGTGGCGTGCCAGATCCATCCAACAAGATTGCTACTTGCTTTGTCTGTTCTTTGCTCTCAGTCTAAATAACTTCTTAATTCATTCTAGTCCTTTTAAATTTTCATGGCTTGCTGCATTTTGTTAGCTCACTTAAAGTGAGAACATGGAATCAATACAGTACAACCACAGACCCAAAGATGGTTAAACTTACATGAGTCCTTTCTAGATGATCCCATCTGGCCCACAGAGATTGTGAGCTCCTTGGTGTTAGGGTCCTAAGCCCAGGTGTCCCATGTCTGAATTTAATTTTCTTCTTCCAGGTCTGCACCTGACACCCTTGCGATCCCGATTTCCCTCTGCTGTTCCCTCAGCCAAACTGATGTGTGGCCCATAGAGAGAAAAAGGTTTCTCAGGCCTGAGGTAGAAGGAACATTTAAGGACAAGGAGACCGATGCGGAAAGGGGTGTTGTTCAGATTGCATTTAAAAATGGGCTGGGAATAACACTGGCTGTGAAAACATTATCAAAAATCTGCAAAATCAACACTCTTTCTTCCTGGTAAACATGAAAGGCTCGGCAGCTGCACCTCCCTCACATGTGTTTGGCCAACTGCTGCTCGGGACATTGTGCCTCCCTCAGCGGCTTATGGGTGCTGATTGAAGCCAGGATTGGCTCTTTGCTGGATCAAAAGGCGTGTCAATGCTCTGAAATGCCATACCAGTCGAGGGTTCAGTTGAACTGAACTCTAGCATATACCCGTCCATCTGGGTTACATGGACACTCTGATGTCCCTGGTGAGGTTTCACTGCGTCAAGACCCTGGGCAGGCAGAACTGACCCTCCCATTTAGGCAAAGGTGACTTGTGGGCAATTTCTTTCTATCAGGATCTTCACCCTCTCAGTCACCCCATAACCTTATACAAGAGAATTTGTTTATTTCGGAGAATCAGCCCACACACAGGTTTGAAGCAAGTCCAAAAGGAACATTTGCCACTGTATGAAAACTTGTCTCATCTTGCTGCTCTTCGATGAGAACTGGTCCATTACTCCTCCCTGACCCCCCCAAGTTTCCAGCATCACTTGTAGAAAACTTACTGTTTGGAAATTTACTGGTTTCCCAGAATTGGAGCTTTTTGCCTGAGTTTCTTTTAGAGAAAGCTGAACTGCCTTTTTGGTGCTCCTATTCTTCCTCCCCAGCACCCCCCATGTATCCTCATAAGGAGGCGGCTTGGAAATAGTTACCAAGAAGAATGCAGCTGTGTACTCCAGTCTAATTTCCTGGAGTGTGAGCCATGTCAGAGGACTCGGATTCTATTTTTGACATGGACTCAGGGATGTGCTGCAGAGACAGCAGCAGGTGTGCTGATTTCAGT